CAGCAAGATAGTCTGGAACAAGCTTGTTAATACATTTGTGCATCATAGTAGCGTCATTTAGAATGAGTTTCTCTCTAATAGGAAGCCATTTCAACGATCGCAACCCATCCGAAATATGGTCATACTTTCTTAGTCCCAGAATAATTCGCCCGGCAAAGTTTTGGACTTTTTGTAACTTGTCAATATTGCTGCTGCTGGTATTACTCCAGACAGTTGAACAATATTGGAGTTTACTAAAGACAAAAGAATTTATTACTAACAGAAGTGTTTTCCTATCCAGGAGGTGTTTGATTCTGTTAATTTGGTACAATTTAAAAAGGCATTTAGAGGCAATCTCAGTGATATGTTGGTTATAACTGAGGTGTGTGTCGAGAAGAACACCCAAGTCCTTAACGACAGGCACAGGTGTTATTTCCTTGTCAAAAAGTGTTATACTGAAAGATGACAGTTTCTTTAAAAGTTGTGGTAATCCAACAGCTAGAACCTTAGTTTTGTCCGGATTAATCAAAAGAGAGTTTTTACAGCACCATTGAGATATTCTCGTAAGATCTTCGTTTAAGGCGAGGATGGACGTGGGTAATTCGGCAGGTGAAAAGGACAAGTACAATTTACAGTCATCAACATAGGAGGCAGATAGACAACGTTTAGGAACAGAAAGGAGGTCGTTAACATAGATTGTAAACAAAACCGGACCTAAAATAGAGCCTTGCGAACTCCGAACTCAAGTGGGAGTACTTTAGAAACTGCGTCACCTATTCGAACGCACTGTTGTCGGTTAGAAAGGTAACTCTGAAACCAATTCAACGCACCCTGGGAAAAATCGAGATTTTGTAGCTTGGATAACAAGATGTCGTGTCGAATACTATCAAATGCTTTAGACATGTCTAATAAGACCATGATGGAAACTTTCTTGTTATCCATAGCCTGGAGCAACTGATCTGTAACGTACAACAGAGCTGTTTCTGTCGAGTGAAGCTTTCTATTTCCGCTCTGATGTGCTGCCAGTTTATTATTTCTAATTAGATGCTCCATAAGTTGTCCATGTACCAACCTTTCAGTGACTTTTGAGACTATTGGTAATAATGAGATGGGGCGATAGTTGTTAGGGACATCTGGAATACCGCATTTGAGAATAGGTGTAACCTCTGCTGTTTTCCATGCACGTGCAAATGTGTTGGTAACAAAGGAGTTATTCACAATGTGGGTAATTGTTGTTAGCGTACTGGGTAAACTGTCTTTAAGAATTCTGGAGGATATCTTGTCCATTCCAGGAGCTTTGTTAGATGGTAGGCTTCTAATCACCCTTTCTACCTGATTTTCCGTGACTTGATGGAGAACGAATAATTCGGGGCTAACGTCGGTGGATATGTGTAAAGGAGTCGGCACGTCCAAATTTACACTAAGTCCATGATGTAAAGATAAGTCCCTGGCTTTTTGAGCAGTAAGACTGCCGACGGAGATGAAGAAATCATTTAATTCGTTAGCTAACCCAGTGGGATCCTCAGAAGCCATAAAACTATCTTGTTGTTTACGTGGTAGACACCGGTTAATGATTTTCCAAATTGAATTAGGGTTTCCATTGCTATCCAGGATCTGAGTCCTGACGTGAACTTTTTCGGCCACACGAATCTCCCTTTTCACTTCTTGACGAAAAAATCTGTATCCGTTCCAGTGGAAGGGGTCATTTGTTTTTCCCGCAAGTTTGCGCCATTGGTCGCGCGTTCTCATTAGTTGACGAATTTCTGGTGTTATAAACGGGTTAGGTTTAGATCTAATTTTAACCCTCTTGACTGGAGCATGTTGACTTAGTACTTCCAAGAACAGTTCGTTGAATACATCAACTTGATCGTTGAAATCGTCAAATAGGCTTATTATGTGAAAAGGCGCAAATGACAAATCACGTAGGAAATTGTCGGCGCTGTAATTAGTATAGCTTCTAATAGTGACGTAACAGGGCTTGATCCTTGGCTTTTTTAACTTCAGCGAGATGTAGACAAGATTGTGATCGCTAATAGTTGACATAAGGACGTCGTTTGAAGCAATTAGTTTCTCATTCGTAGTCATCACAACATCGATTAACGATTCCCCATTCTCCGTGGCTCTGGTTGGTTTATTGATTAATTGGGTGAGGTTAAAAGTAGATCAAAAATCGTTTAAAGCACGAGATTCTGCGTTATCTTGAAGGAGGTTGCAATTGAGGTCACCCAATATAATGACATCAAGACCTGACAGGAGGGATTCGATAAGACTGTTGGCAAGATCATCTATAAAATTTAATGGAGTACTCGGTGGTCGATATACTGTGCAGATGACGAATGACTTATAACAGCGACTTTGCACTTTTAGCCACAATTGCTGAAAGTTATTATCAGAAACTGAGGATACATTCTCCAGTGATGAAACTTTGTAGTTTTTCTTAATGTAAACACATAGTCCGCCGCCAGGTTTGTGCGGGGCACGGTCTTGTCTAAAAACAAAGTGTAGCCTGGAATATGAATGCTCTCGTTGTTGACTGAAGAATCCAGCCAAGTCTCTGATATCGTAAAGATGTCGAATTATTTGAGACAACGGAATCCTTTAGCAGAGTGAAGTGTTCCCTGGACTTCAAGGAGCGGATATTTAAATGAGCAATCCTGATGTTTGACTTCGTGTTGCAGGGAAAGCTAATATTTGTGTTCGTCGATGTAGATGAAGAATTAGAAGTAGAGTTTGGTCCAGGATGTGGATGAATGTCGCCGCTAAGATTGTTTTCCAGGAGAGATGGGTCCCATTGATGGTGAGATCCAGAGGCTGAAAGAAGTGGATCATGTTGGCAGGAACCGACACAATTGCAATATTTAGCGATGCCAGTTTCTTCGAAACCTTTGCAGCTTTTTGACCTCTAAACACATCACAGATCAGCAGAGCTTTTTGAGTTGGTGCCAGTTTGAGCTCCTTTCTTTTCCTCTCGATGTAGGGGACAATTACTTTATCTATCAAGGTTAAAGTTTCATTTTATTAGAGTATTGTTTTGGATTCTGGGAAATTGCAAATCCTCTGGAGAATTTAAAACCTCTTGGTTGTTTTCGCTTGGTATATGACTTGCATGGGTAAGAATTCTCCTGATAACGAAGGTGAGAGTGATGCTTCTCTTATCAGTCACACCTTTAATTGAAACTGACGATGCATTTCTTGCAGCCATCATCATTCTCTCAATTGAAAGATTTGAGCAAGGAGTTTGATCTGCATTTAACACGAACTCAGGAGGAATCTTGTCCTCTGTAATCATCTTGTTAATGTCAGTGAGAAATATAAGTTTACATTCTTCAAACATCCCTCTAGGAACTGGAGGACAAGTGGTTGTTCCAGCTCGGTGAGTAAAATTGCAGCGCCTATAAGTGGATTTCTCGAAGTCACTGTAGGCTCAAATTCTCTTAAATATGGCAACTTATTACTATCGACAAGCACCAGTGCTGTTGCCTTCACGACACAGAAATTAACTTCTTTTGAACTATGAAACCGCAACGAAACAAGGACATTTTACCAAAGAAACTTAAACCAGAATATAGCGCGTCTTCACAGCACTGTAACACTAATAAAGGGAACAGAGAGACTATTGTGTTTTGTTTGTTGTTGGTTTCCAATCTCAGTTTACAAATACCAGGTGTTACCTTTAGCTGTCACAATACAATTGACTGCAACAGAACAACCACATTGAGAGGAACAGCAAACATGCCAGATCTTGAAATGGCAAGCAGAGATCACAGTGGCTCTATCATGTATTTGTTTAAGTGCGGTCTCTGCGGGTTTCACATTTACAAAGAGGTTTAGAGTCCGATTTTTGGAGAGCATTTGAAATGCTGCTATGAGAGAAATAACTGTTTTGATTGCTATGCTATTGCCACAACCAAGCACCTTTAAGGCCGTCTTGCTGGCCCTACGGTTGTTCACTTGCCCTGGAAAGTTTCTAGGGGAACATGCTTTTTTCTACAAAGAAGAGGGCTTTTTTGAGCTAAAGTCATCAGCAAGAACCACAGAAGATCTCCACTAGTGCAAGAAGGATTGGAAATTCCCATACAAGTTACAGCTGAGATGGATCTTACTGAGAGGAATAAAGCAATCCTTGAAAAATATAAACAGATTGTTGTTTCAAATTTCAAAGAACCCAGGAATTATGGCAATTTCAATGACTGTACAAAAGAGGTGCTGAAAGGACCTAAAGATCACGATAGTGATACAGATGAAGAGGTTCAAAGAAATGCAGGTAGTGAAATTTGACTGTTAAAATGTCATTCATCATCTTTAGGCATGCCATAAAGCTTTTACACATTGCACACAATAAGTAGACATGTTTC